TGGGATTCTACCTCACCAATGCTTTTCTGCTCTACAGATTCTTTTGTTATTTCCATGTGGTTTCATTGTCTTTCCAAACTTGGTAGTTAATACTAAGGCACCTTGATTCAAAACTCTGGTCTAATGCCGGAAGGTAAAAATTGACAGACTCTATTACTATGTCTTCTCTCTTTCCTGATTCACGATTTTAGTCTTCTGTGAGACAGAAGAAAATGAGCAAATACATTATGTAAGCTAAAGTTGGAAAACGGGCCAGACTTTCTGGGTATACTTTAGTTTGGGAGTTTAATGTTTATTTTGTTTAAATGTCTGCCATTCACTTATTTCCTTTTACAATGCTCTTGATGGAATTCTGTTAAAATTCTCTCTGAAAGGTAAAATGGCCTTCATAATTGCCTTTGAGTTTTCTTTTTCTCTTAAGATCCATATTCCTTAAGCCAGTCACTTCCCACTGCAAATTCAATACCCTCTAAAGAGGCCTCTTCTTACAAAGGAGATAGGCAAGTTTGGAAGACCATTCAATCTTAAAAGCGTTTTATTGATCTTGGTGCTGGGCGCTGATTGAGGAAAATGTTAGCAGCTGTGTGCCTTTCCAAGGAGCAGGGCTGCAGGGCCCTTTCTGACCAGTGCGGGGAAGGAGGCTGAGCGAGAGCAGAGTGCAGTGTGTCAGCCAGCTGCCCATGGAACAAACTGGTCCTTTTTTCTTCAAGTCAGCAGTGCCATCTAAGTGTTAAAATTAGAAACTTCACCCTCTCTAAGCAGTGTAAATGAAGCCTGCTTCCTAGGAAGCCATTTTAACAGTAACAACTAGCCTCTACTGTATGCTTAGTATGTGACAAGTGCTGTTCTAAATGTATTACCTGTATCAACTCATTTAACCTTCACAGTCTTATGAGGTATAGATACTAATAGCCCATTTTACAAAGGAGGAAACTGAGGTACAGAGGTTAAGTGGTTTGCCCAAGATCATGGAGCTAAAATATCTCAGAGCCCTGTATTTGAATTTGGTCAGTCTGATTCCAGAGTCCACGCACTTAACAGTTACACTCTAGCTCAGACAACAAGTGTTTATGAAGTACATTGTGCCAGCACACTGTGCCAGGAACCTTGGGTACACAGCAGTGAGCAATCCGGGAAGATCATCCTTAACTTCCTGTCAGGGAGAGCCAGATACTGGAGCTGTAACTGTCCGTGAAAGCAGTTGTCAGAGCAGAGGCCGGGTGTTGAGAGGATTTAGTCATACAGAGATCTGTGGGAGGGTGTTCTGGCAGAACCGTAAATGTGAAGGTAGAGACGTGAGAATGAGCTTGGCTTGTTCAGGGACTGAACTGCTTTCACTTCCTAAGTGAACCACTTCTCTCACCTCCTTGCCTATCTTTGACTGACTGTTCCTTCCGTCTGGAATGCCCATCTCATGCCCTTTGACCAGGCTACGTTAATTGTCCTTTAGGGGTTCCCTCTGGGAGGTCAGTACCCCTGCCCCCACATAAGGTAGGTGACCTTCCCTTGTTCCTGGCCTCACACCTACCACACCCTACTGAGTTTGTCTTTTTCACTCTAGGATTTCCTAGAAAAGAGGCACTATCTAAACTTAGAATACCCAGCTCTTAACATTGGGGGACACCTGAGTTAGTTGAATGGATATTACCAAGGTCACTTAGTAAGTGGCAGACCAGGACTGAAAATGAACTGTGCCTGTTCTCAAAATCCATTTTTCACCTACTGTGCTGACAGTTGTAGTTTGAGAAGCATGAAATGCCCGGCTTTCATCCTGCGCAGAGAATGTCAGAGACGGTGGGTGATTCATCATGTGTTGGCAGCACGGTTGTCTCAGTGCCAGTTGTTCTGCATAATGAACTGAGCTGTCAACAGCCTGATGGTGAAAAAAGGGCACATGTGACCAGTGGATTTAGCTTTGTAATGGCTGTTCAGGAGAGCAGGGGCAGGTAGTATGTGTGATTTTTCAAGACTGGCTGTTGAGGTTTTCCTCTCTTGCTAGAAATTAACCTCTCTTTTATTGGGTGGTAGAATTTCTTTAAAAGGGTTTTAAGACAGGAAATGGTTTGTAGGAAAACTAACATGGCCAGCATGATCCAAGGGAAATAGAACTGAACCGGGCATCAGGAAAACCACATACGGGCTTTAAGACTTTGGACAAAATAAGCATTGGTTTCCCTGTGTGAAGGTGGGAGGATGTTCAGTGCAACTAGGGGACGCCCTGGCTTCTTCCTTGTTGGAGAAGCTGAGGGGCACATCCAGATGGAGCAGCCCAACATGTGGGGAGTTCTCTGCCTGCGCTGTTCCAGTGCTTTCCACTAAGTGGATTTGGGTGCTCTCTGATGTGTTTGTCTCTTCTTTGATGGCCGTATATGAATTCTTTAACATCAGGGCTTAAATGTCTGTTTGGAAACCCGGCCCGAGGTTTCCTCCTGAGCCCTATTACTCTTCTCATTGATTCTGCAGCACTGTCGATCTTCCAGAACAAAGGAAGACGCCCTTTCAAGGCATGATGCCCTTGAGGCCCTGCTCTAGAGCTTTCCAGGGGCCTTTGTTTGATCAGAATGTCTGTATAATTAAATCCCAAGAACATTCCCAAACTGAGAGGCTATGATTTATGAAATAATCTACTTTTGATCTTGTCCAGGTTTTTTCCATTTCAATCCATAAGTGAATCTTTGAGTTTATACATAGGGATAAAAGCAGTACTGGCAGTCCCTGAATTACAGTGTTCTGACTTACAATTTTCTTACTTTATGATGGTGATACAAAATACGTATTCAGTTGAAACCATCTAGGCTAAGCTATGATGTTTGGTACGTTAGGCATATTAAATGCATTGTCGACTTACGATATTTTCAATTTATGATGTGTTTTTCAGGACGTCACCCTGTCGTAAATTGAGGAATATCCGTACCATTTTAGGAACTTAAAATGCTAATGTTTTTAGAAGTCATTACAGTGATGGACCCATAGTATCTATCTAATTCTAGGTTGTATAAAAACAGAGATAGATAATAATTCTCAGGTGAATTCTTCACTCATACTCAGTATCCACTAAAAGTCTCCTATCTCCTGACATAATATGCTAATTTTGAGACTCTGCTTACTTTCTAAGTCAAACAAAACCCGAGAAGAGATCATTGTAGCTATCTGGAAAGGTCCTGGGGTAGTGTATATGGTATTTGTGCCATTTGACTAGTACTGGAACTTACAGACCTTTCTCCCATGGAGCAAACCACTCTGGGAGCCTCCTGTCATACAGCTGATGGCCCTTCATTCCTGGTGAGACTGGCAGTCACCATTTTATATCTCTGTGGGTTTTGCTATTTTGGTGTTTACCCTTTTTCTTTTCTTATAAAACTGCCTTGGACATATTAGTAATACCTGGGGACTTGGCTTCGCTTCATTCATATTCTGGACATCACTGAAGATCTGTTAGTCACAAGGCAGGGTCCTATTACCTTGATCTGATTCTGGAGGTCATGTGTCTGCTGGTCTCTTCTTTCCTGACATGTTTTCTTTCTGTTCATGCCCACTCTTGTTGACCATATTCCAGGCTTCCGGTCTGCCTAGGGACTTGAACCTAGGTACCACCTCGCTAACCCAGGTCTGATATAATCCCTAGAGACACTGCTGTGGGTTTTTCTGAGTAGCACATGGATTGCCTTTTCCTTGAGCTGCCTGCCGCTGCGCGGTCATTTCTGACAGCCGCGGTTACACTAATGCTTCAGAGCCAGGATGAACAATGATCAGAAGGTGTTTTCTTGCCTTTCGTGTCTGTACTTTCGGTTTTGTTTTTAAATTAAAAGTACCAGGGCTAATAGGTTGTTTTTTTAATCCCCCTTTGGCCTCCCCTAAAATGATCTAAGTTTTCTCAATAATTTTGAGCACTGTAATTTCCTCTGAGTAAATGATAGCTTTTCTAGTTACAAGCTGTTGACTTTGTTTCAGTTTCTTCTCTTTGATTTCCTCATCTGTAAAATGGGGGGAGGAAGTACTGCATCACAGGATTGTGGTGAGGATTAAACGAGGATAAACGCTAAGTACTGGCACAGAACAGGTGCTCAGTAGGCATCAGTTCTCCTTGTTTCCCTGGTGGGTTGTCATCACCACTCGAAAGCTTTCCTAACCTGTGAGCAAAGTGACTTCTAGGTGTGTGCTTAGTTCTATCCAGGCCTGCACTGTCCACTTGTAATAGCTACCAGCCACATTGGCTGTTGAGCCAAAGATAGACTATTTGAGATGTGTTATAATATTTTAAATACCAGATTTCACAGACTTGGTTAAAAAAAAAAAGTAAAATCATTAATTTTTTTGTATTGCTTACATGTTGAAATAGCAATATTTTTATGTATCGGGTTAAATTAAATATATACACTGAATTTCGCCTTTTTCCTTTTTACTTAAATGTGCTCACTAGATATTTTAATACCAAGAATGTTTAAAATATCTAAGTTTTGCGCTTTTTAAGGAAACTTTTGATGTACTGTTGGAATAAGTTTTCTGCTGTCTTCAAAGCCTATTGAAACATTTTTTAGCAGTGTTGTCACTTTAAAAAACTATAAAAAGAGCTAATATCCTCCTTGGTGGTAAGCATTCAACCTTTCAGGCTTTCAAAATTGTCAGGAGTCAATTTGAAGTTAAATTTAGTGAACTATTAAGAATCAAGTTAGAAAACACTTTGTATAAAATAGACCCACATTTTTCTCATGATTCATAACAGACTCTAGGCAATCCCAAATGAGTTTTTAAAAATGTTTTGCTCAACAACACTATGTGTGGAATAAATATATATAACTTCCCAGGGGCATATATTATAAGCCTTATAAGCCTTTGTTTTTTAAATCACTATAATTACATTTGAATATATAAATTAGTAAGACTTAAGTAAATATGGGCTATACAAAAGATAATAGTAAATGCTGTTTGTGTCATGGTGAGGTAGGGGAAGACAGTACAGATAGAAAAGGAAAACTTGTTTCTTTGTCTCATTCCCATAGATGCTCGTTGCCAACATTGACTTGGGTCCTACTATTTTGGACATCGCTGGCTACAACCTGAATAAGACCCAGATGGATGGGATGTCTTTATTGCCTATTTTGGTGAGTATAAAGCCCTCAATCAGGCCTGAGCCAAGACTCTGAAATAAATTCCAGGTTGTATAAATTTGAACTTAAAAACTATTAAATTTGGGGAAAAGAGTTTTTTTAAAAAAAGAATGATCGGAACACAGATAAACAGAGTTCTATATTCTCCCTACTTCCCATCTCCTCCCCCCAAAAACCATTATAAGCAAAATTAAGACAGGTGACAATTGGGAAGATATTTGCAACAAAAGTGAAAAATGGTAGTAAGTCCTAATAGAAGAGTTTTTAGAAAGCAAAGATTAATATCCCAGTAGAAAAATGGACAAAAGAAGTAACTGGTTAACTCACAGAGGAATTAGAAATAGTCAAAGTGCGAAAAGATTGCATCAGTGCTGATCAAAGCAATGCTTAACTGAATGAGACTTTCATTGCCTGCAGAACTAGCCCGGATACCCACTATTTGCAGAAGTCTGAGAAAATGGAAACTACCCAGACTCTGTTCATAAAAGTGCAGTCAGTATAAGCTACCGGAAGGTTAATGTAACAAGACACATCACTTCAGAATATACACATAAAGCCAGTGGTTCTCAACCTTCTGGCCCTTTAAATACAGTTCCTCATGTTGTGACCCAACCATAAAATTATTTTCGTTGCTACTTCATAACTGTAATGTTGCTACTGTTATGAATCGTAATGTAAATATCTGATATGCAGGATGGTGTTAGGCGACCCCTGTGAAAGGGTCGTTCAACCGCCAAAGGGGTCGCAACCCACAGGTTGAGAACCGCTGCATTAAGCAATTCTATCTGGGAATTTGTTCTAAGAAAACAAAACTCTTTCAAGTACCTACTATGTACCTGGCACTGTACAGAGCTAACTATAAGAAATGTATGTGTAGTGTTAATAGAAGAAAACAGAAAACCTAAATATCCAATAGGGTATTGGTTAAATTGTTGCACCACTAAACAATAGAATATTAAACTAATACTACATGGTATAGATCTGTATACATTGACTTGGAAAGATGCCTATTCCATGCTATAGAGAGAAAAGGAGGTTTCACAACAGCATCTGTTGTTCATTAAAAATGTGTTTTAATATGTTTAAACATAGACAAGTTTGGAAAGATTGGTCTTAAAATGATTTAGGCATTTATAGTGACTCATAAATCTTACTCATTGATTTTTCTGAATCTATTACAGTGTATTAGGTAGAATATGATTCATAAAAAAGAATATGTGTAGCTCATATTCGTTATGAAACACAAGAAATACCATGAACCCATCATCCCATTAAGAATTCATATTCCTAATACTGGTACCTCTGCCTATATGCTCTTCCCCATTCTATCCCTCAGCTGCCCCATGAGAGTGATCACTTTCTGGTTTTCATGGTTATCATTCTCTGGCTTTTATTTTTTAGGGTTATTATGTATATATCCCTAAACAACATACCTAGTTTGGGTCTTGTTTTGCCCTCTTGTTTTACTAGTCCAGCTGTAAGAACTGACGTGGGGGGATTCTCCCCTCCCCATAAGTTCATGTATGTATGGTATCTTCATTCTGACCAGCAAGTCCGTTGAACCTATTACCTTCCTTAGCACAGCACTGTTGAATATTTGTGAGTTCTTGTGTGAATGAAGCTATGCATTTCTTAGTATGAGCTGAGAATAGTTCTCACACAGAGTTTATGGACAGGACTGTTTATTCTAACCTGGACTTCAGCACCTTGAGCTGTGACTAATTCTTGCTTAGCGACTTTGCTGGTTTCCATTCCTGCCTGCCTCACAGTAGTTGTGGGAACTATAGAATGCTCAAAGCACTTGACCATCACTTGCAAAGGCTCTAGAACAGCGGTTGGCAACCAGTGGTCCGTGAGGTCCAAAAGGTTGGCGACCGCTGGTTTAAGGAAACCTTTGGAGCAGTGGTCGGCAACCGGTGGCCCACAACAACCGCTGCTCTAGAAGATCCTCAGTAGCCTTCATATGTATCAGTTTTAATCACTCCAATTAGTTTTGACTGCCAAGGCCCCTTTAGCAATAGAATAAATAACTTTGTGGTCCTGCTCACAGTCTCTATGCCTCACGGGAACCACTTTTACTCTTCTAGACAGGTGTCAGTAATGTGACTTGGCGATCGGACGTCCTGGTGGAATATCAAGGAGAAGGTCGTAATGTCACCGACCCAACATGTCCTTCCCTGAGTCCTGGAGTATCTGTGAGTAATAGTTTGAGTTGACTTGGACAACTTCCTCACTGAAGCTCGGCAGGACACTGGTGTAGACGTAGCAAGTGCTGAAACCCGTAATCTGAGTCCTGCTTCTCTGTCACTTCACTTTGTCACTTGACTGGAAGATCAGTAGATGCACAAAGATAAATCAGTAATCCTGAAAAATAAAGAAAAAAATCATGAAAATGATGCTGCTGACCTGTTGTCAGAATCTGCACTTCAGATTCTTCCAATTATTGTAACAAGTACATGTACCAGCCAATATTCTTAACCTTATTAATCGATACCCCTTCCGGTTTTCCTACCCTTCCCAATAATGGTACTGTTTTTTGTTAGGGATATAATCCATGGCATCCAACAAAGAGATGGGCTCCCACCTTTAACTGTGCCATCATGAGTGTCTTGCACTGGTGGCAGCCAGGCTGGTCATGAAGGTGGTCACGGTGATGTTGGCCTCGCGTTGGAGAATGGGAAATAGGCTTCCATTTGAGTTGACTCTTCTAACACCAAGGTGTTCGATATAGTTAAGAACCAACCAAAAGTTGGTATGGAAGACTTGAATTAAGTCCCATTTGGTGATAAGAACACTCAAATAATGTACCTGCTGATGATTCCACAAAGCTCATTTTAGCTTTTTTCCCCAACTTTTAGCATGGCAGTTCCTAATATACCTTAGAAGTGACTCATTTGAGTATTGGTCTCATCTCCTTACCAACCGTACATTTTACAAGGGCCCATTACAGCTAATTCTTGTCAGGAGATGTGCAGGCAGGGATGGCAACAGTCTACAGACAGAACCACCATGACCATGTCCCTTAGTCAAGATAGCCATCACATCAGTAAGGAAAAAGCTGCACATCTATTTTTGATTTATTTCTCCGTGGAAAGTTTCCTAATTTCTGTCCACTTGTATGTCTGGTTTAAGCCAACTTGGTTGCCCCAGTAGGCAGGTAGTTACTATAGAATGACTATCTTCATTTTACTTTTTAAATATCCCAACAGCAATGTTTCCCAGACTGTGTGTGTGAAGATGCTTATAACAACACGTATGCCTGTGTGCGGACCATGTCAGCACGGTGGAACTTACAGTACTGCGAGTTTGACGACCAGGAGGTAAGGTGCCCTGCTGCCTCCCCCATGTCTTGCCAGCGCTTTGTTGGCTGGACTTGGTGGGCGAAGAGCAGTTCCAAGGGTGCTCTCTAGGGAAGATATGTTTCTTCTCTGTACTTCCACTTAGGTTTCCTTCAGCGAAGGAATCGGAATTCCCAGGCCATTCTTCACTGCTCTGTGCCCTTTCTGATGAGGCTCTCTCCACTCCCGCCACCACCCAAACACACTTTAAATGTGCAGGTCACTTTTTCAGATGCGGCTTCCCTACCTGGGGGGGCTGAGAGTCAGACACCTCAACTTGGTCAGAAACTGTCCCGACCACAGCACAGTACTGTGCTGCTCAAACAGATCAGCACGGACGGTCTGATAAGTGGTTTCATACACTTATCAGAAGGTGCTAACCTACGCCAGCTGGCTCCCCACATTGGGCCATGTGGAGCCAACACTCACCACGTTTCTCAGAAGCTGACTCACTCGCCATTTCCATGTAGCTCTTAAGCATTTTAAACAGGCAAGAGAGCTCCCTTCCAACTCAATTCCTGTTCCTCTTCCCCCATAATCTACCCACGTAAGTACTTTATAAGTGACTAGAGGCCCGATGCAGAAATTCGTGCAAGAGTAGGCCTTCCTTCCCCCGGCTGCTGGCACCGGTTCCCTCTGGCACCCAGACTTCCCTCACAGCCCAGCTTTCTGGACGTCAGGTCTAATTAGCATATTATGCTTTTATTATTATAGTCTAAGGGCAGCCACTTGAAACCATTATAGGCAAATTCTGCCTGCCATCTTCCTAGTCTATCACTTGACTCCACTTTGGAGAACAAAGTACAGATTGGAGGGAAATAGTGATATTAGACATGTCTAACAATAGAAATAATAGTATTGTATCTTTCAGCAGCACTGCTTTTCTAACATTTGTGTAACACAGGTTAGGGTACTTTCCCATTCTCATTTGAATCTTCACAATTCTAAGGCAAAAATAAACCTTCAAATGTCAGCTCCCTCTCAGTAACTTCATTTCTAAGTCTAGTTTCTGAGACTCTGCATTTGAAGGTCATGCCTTCTGCTGTCTGCTTTAGTTACAGAAAATAATAACCACCCCCTCCTGACTCTGCCCGTAAAGGGCCCCTTTCCAGCACGTGGGCCATTGACCGAGGCAGTTTAACCCCCGGCAGATGCTCCACTGTCTCATGGATACCCTTGGGCTTTAAGGGTCTTTGTTTTCTTTGAGGATCTTGAGACCAGATGATACTTTCCTGGCCTTGGGTGCTGTCTCCGTCTTCCCCATTTAGGAATAATTCACATGAGTATTTCTTTCCTCCATCCTTTCATTGCCCGTAGGTGTTTGTAGAAGTCTATAACCTGACTGCAGACCCGCACCAAATCACTAACATTGCTAAAAGTATCGACCCGGAGCTTCTAGGAAAGATGAACTATCGGCTGATGATGCTGCAGTCCTGTTCTGGACCAGCCTGTCGCACTCCAGGGGTTTTTGACCCCGGGTAAGTTTCCATTTTCTTCAGTGACTTTGCCAAGTTGGCTCTAGCAGTCTGCTGTTCCTGAAGGCAGCGGGAGCCCGAGGGGTCTCTCTCGCTGTGAGCTGTGCTGTCCCCATGCTCCTGCTTTAGAGTGGGAACATCGTGGCTCAGTGCATCAGCCCGTGTGCCAGGAGAACACGCTGTTTGAAACTTTCTCTTTGTGCCAGTTGGTGCTTGAGAGGTGTAGCCCTGCTCCTCACCGCTGGGGCTCCTCTGCCTCCCTCCTGGCTGGGATTCTTGTCAAGGCACCACTGGCGACCCCTGGGGCGTCTGTAGAGTAACTGACCAAGTCCCACCCTGTTCCCTAGCACTTCCGAGAGCATATGCCTTCATTTCATTTCTCAGAAACCCCGATTACAGAAACGTGAATATTTGCCAGTAAATGTAATGTATTAAACACAGACAATGAAACAGAAGGCATAAACTCTCATGTTGAAATGTGTACGCCACTGCAGTATACAAAGGTAGGAAAGATGTTTACCACCTACTCAGGTCCATTCCTTCCTCTCATTCCTCTTGAGCAGTAACTTTTCACCACGAACATGGCTCAGCATACATACCTCTGAGCCGCCTATGGCAAATCCTGTTATCTTTTGCTTGAAAATTACAGAATTAAACTTTCACTGAGAAAGGATTATTTCAGTTCTTGTAGCCTAATTGTAGGAGAGAGGGAAGAATGCTGTCTTAAGCCAATGAGAAGCGGTGATGTTATTATTTAGCCATTGTCACATGAAGTGGTTCTTCAGTCCAAATTAGAGAGGAGGAATGTATGTGAATGAGTAGGGAAACGGGATTCCAGCCCCTGCTCTAAAATAACAGTAAGAATTAGTTTATCCTAAAAGACAGCAGATAGAAGTAAAAGACAATGTTGTTTCTAGCCTTCACCTGTATTCTTTATGTTTACCAAGTCTCAGCTCAAGTTACCATTCGGCATTCACTCTAACTTCCCCATGGGTGGTAAAATAAGTTCTCTTATGTGCCAGACATTGTCTATACAAATTGCCTTACTGTTTTATTGGTGGCCAGAGGGGTTAATGACTTGCCTCATAATGAACCAGATTCAAACTCATGTCTAAAGTACACACCTGTGGTCTTACCCACCACAGTCTGCATCTTAATTGTAAAAGAAAGGCTTCAGGGCTTTGCAATTATTGGCGGGGCCTTCAGCGAGGGCTAGACTCATCCATCAGGCTGCTTTATACCTTAGGGATCTCCCCTTCCCCCCTAAAAAACAAATCTTGCCTCCTTCCTAATGCCTTCTCAGATTAACCTTCCTGTTTCTTCTCTCCTCTCCCGTTTTGTGTGGTTGACTTGCGATGGAAATGCCCTTATTAAAAGTCCTCCCGTCTTGTGCCACTAGATTCCCGTCTGGTGACTTAATTGGTCTGTTGCTATCCCTTCCTGCCCTCCTTTCCACGTAGCATTTGGAGTGAGGTCCTGGCAACTACAGGGAATGTGACATCCTTTTACTTCTTCTCCCCAGATACAGGTTTGACCCTCGTCTCATGTTCAACAATTTCAGTGGCGGCAGGACTCGAAGGTTTTCAAAACACCTTCTGTAGCGACGTCTGCACACCTGTCTGATGAAGTGAGTGTAGTAGGTGTCTGTAGCTAGTCTTCAAGACCACGCCTGGAAGAGTTTCGGGACTGGCTTGTAAGTCCTGTTTTGAAAAGCACCCCAATCAGCCTACTTCCTGTGCAATGTGTTAAACTGTGAACGCTGCCCGTCTGTCAGGAGCAGCCATCCCCAGTCCCTCCATCCAGCTGACACGACTGCTCCTGAGGTCTGTGTTCTCGTCATACCCTTTCTGTTCTGGGGTCGCTCCCCAGGTGGTCAAAGTCTGAATTTGTAAATCCGTTCAGAAAAATGTGTTTGGTATACAGCATGACCTAAACATGAAAGGACCTGCATAGCATTTCAGATTGAGCACTTGACTCTCAAAAAGTACTAACATCCCATGGCTTGAAGAATAACTATCAGAACTAAATCATCTAATTAAGAGCAAGTACCATTGCTTTCAGAGTAGCAGAAATATGTTGTTTATAGTATCTACCCATCACGATGTGATAAGTCGCAAATCCAAAACATGTCAACCAAGCTCTGTTCATTTTTTTGGGTCTGGACTGGCACACACTGAGCTAGAACAGAAGCTTTTGGTCAAGGCTCATTGCAGGTAGTTTTCGAAGGTGAGAGCCATCTGTTTTCCAGGGGCTGCTCACCATGTGGAGGCTCAGGTAACACCAGGGGTGGGGAAGGGTGTGTTTGAGGGCCTTCTGGAGAGGGGCACTCGGGTTGACAGGTGGAAGGGCTCGTGTTGGGATGCAGTAAGTGCCTGACCAGCAGGGAGTCTGGGTTTCAGTCCCGGGCCGCAGTTGTTTTGACTCTCTCTGCATTTTGCTGACACTCTATCTGTTCGTTAAGATATAAAATTTTTTATAGTTGATGCACAGCTTAGTTTTTCCTGAGTTTGTGTGGAGTCTTGTGTAATTTGGGCCCCATTCACTATTCTCATTAAAACCAGATCTTGTTGGGATTTCCTCACTATTTAGAACTTACATATTTTTGTTTCTTGACTCAAGCCCATTTCCACCATTTTCTTCACAAGAAGGTTAATCAGTGGTGGGACAGCAAGGAAGGAGGAAAAGCTGTGGTTTGTAACCTGTTCAACTCAGGCAGTAGTGGTTTAGCTTTATTTAGGGTCGTAGGCTGAGCTTTAAGCACTTTGTAAGACGTGGTTGTAAGCAGCTTTTCTATCAGAATCCCAGATAGCCATTGGGTTTATTCCTTTACCTCACGCAGTCCATTAACTGGTGGTATTTAGAGGTGAAATAGGCAAATGAAATGGACACCGCTGCTGTGAAATTATAAAAATTTGTAACTAAAAGCAAACTACAATGTGGAATATGGGTTTTGGCTTCATTCTACAGTTTTGATTCTTAACATTTCTCAGTCAACTTCCACATTAATGAAAGTTGGTCATAACTATTCCCGAATAAAAAGAAACCAACTCTTACCAGGTCTTGTACTGTGATGTCATATTATTCAATTAATTCACTTTATGATGCATAGAGTGACACACAAGTCAGCTGGCGACATACCCATCACCACCAGCAGCTTCTGTTTGGGTGATGGGGACACAGTGAGGCCTCTCTGTTGTTGCATTTCCAAGCTGACTGACTGTTGAGTGCCCTCTGATTTGACTCTCCTGGTCATTCTGGATCTGGGCTGAAATCACCTTTCCTTACGAGGCTTCAGTTTGTAGAGGCTAACAGGCTACAAAATGCACAGAACTTTTCACAATGTCTCTGTACGAGGGACCCACTGCAGGAGGCTTGCTTTGTCTCTTAATTGTACTGATTTATTATTTTCCCTTTTAAGAAGGCCAGTTCCCTATCTGTTGGTGCCCTTCAGAGTAGAGAACTACCCATTAGTAATGAACAGAGGACATAGGAATGAACAGATTTTGCCTTATAAAAGTTCCTATTACAAAGCTCTTCCTCAAATACAATCACCAAGTAGGAGACACCTTTTGAACATCTTTGAATCAATGGTGCTGTTGCAAAATACATTTTTTTGGTCAATACAATTGACAACACTAGGGTTTTTGTACAAAATAGTAATGACAGCCATGGAAGTTATACGTTCATCTATGAAAAATGTTCTTAAACTTATTTTTAAGTGTCTAAATGAAGGACTAGTGCTTTTTTTAACGAAAGAATTGTCCCAGGATCCTTATTATGAGAAAGCAAAGAGTATGTCACCTGATCCACCAGTGCAATTGGATGGGAATATTTGGGTTCTTTAGTTTTACCACCACTATGTCCCCCTGAATTTTGTGAATTCCTGTGTTTGCATCATCTGTTCTGGGAGTTACTCTGCCCTGGTTCTGTCATTTCAGTCATTTGACTTAGAAAGTGCCCTTCAAAGGACCCTGTTCACTGCTGCACTTTTCAATGAATTAAACTTTATTTCTGTTCTAGTGGAAACGTGTCCTTTGTCTTAGTCCCCACGTAGTAAGTCTGACAAGACGCTTTCTTTTCCTGATGCTGTTTCGTGTTCCCGTCACTCACCTCGGACTGAACTGGTCATACGCCGGGGTATGGTCTGTTCCTGGAAAGCTCTCCTACACGTGTCCCTCGGGCCAAGCCCCGAGTGAGCCCCACGTAGAAAATCCTTCCTGATCAATCTTTATGCATTTACAGCTTTGGAGAACAATCATCTTGCCTCGGCCGGCTTTCAGTTAAATAAACTAAGCTCACCTTCCAGGGTGCTTTACCTTGATGCCCAGTCATGTGATCCAGTGCCCCAAATAACTTCATGTGGGAGATGGAAAACTTTTCTGAAAGGGAAAGTTTATGTTTTAGGCTTGTAGGCCATGTGGGCTCTGTTGCAACTAAACTCTAAGTAGGGCTACTTTTGTGCTACTATACCAGTCAGTAAAATCAATGTGTGTCTATATTCCAACAAAACTACAAAAACAGGTAGGACCTGATTGCCAACCCCAGACCTAGTAAGTTGCCCCGTATCCTATAAATTATGAAGGTCAAGTAGAAAAACAGGATGTTAGAACACATCCATAAAGTTGCCAGATTACGACACCCCAAAATGGGTAATTTGGGTATATCACAATGTGAAGCCATCAAGTAAAAGGAGAAAGTTTACCTGCATAGACTCTCCCAACTCCTTTTTTTCTGATTTATCCCACCTGTTCCCATTGAGTCTACCTGCAGAACCAACTGCCCTACAGAATTAATCTTTGTTTCATCTTTCTCTACTAGCAATGGGTTTAAAGGGTTGGTCATATGCATACATTGAGAGCAGAGAACCCAAAGACCCCAGGCAGAAAACACTGTGCTGAGACCTCTACTGATGGCCTAGGAATTATATATAAGACAGGATTTAAACGTGGGACACGAGCTAGCTCCGAGTACCGGAGAGGAGGTAACAGTTCTAAATACTGGTCTTTGAGAGGAAGCTTGCATGACCGCCCATCCAGAAGACCCGTAAACATCCTCAACTTGTAGCTGACGTATGATCAGAGGTCCTAGAAGGGCAGACGGACACAAAGGACGCTTGTAATTAGTACTTACTATGATAAAAATGGCTCCGCAGGATAGGTTTTTCCCTCAGCTTAATTCATCCAAGCTCACAAAGCTAATGATAGTCACGGTTCCAAAGAAGATCCAGCTTCAAAGCCATCTTTCTGTCAAACTCTGCTGTCTCTGTGGTCTACGAAGAATTTTCCCTCCATCATATACCTGAGTGCCTACTCTGCCCACTAATGAGTTAGTTATGAAAGGGAATTATCCCATTCCTGACCTCGAGGACATTATGTAAATTAAAAAGAGAACTTAAGAAAAAAAAACTCCAGGCAAGAAAACTAATCACCACTAAACCAGCCTTAAGGGACTTCTTTAAGCTGAAAAGAATGGGTGCTATTAAGTAACAAGAAGACATATGAAAGTATGAATCTCACTAGTAAAGGTAAATATACAATAAAAAGTAATGGGCTAATCATTTATAAAGTTAGTATGAAGGATAAAAGATAAAGAGTAAAAATAACTATAACCAAGAGTAAAAATGTAGAGGTCTAGCACATGTTCAAACTTAAGTTGTCACCAACTTAGACTGTTACAATTATAAATTGTTATATGTAAGCCTCAAGGTAATCACAAAGCAAAAACCTACAAGATATCCACAAAAGATAAAGGACTCTAAACATACCCCACTACAAAAAGTCATCAAACCACAGAGGAAGAGCGCAAGAGAAGAAAGGAACAGAGAGGTCCTAGAAGACAGCCAGAAAACAATGAACAAAATGGCAATAAGTATGTACCTATCAATAATTACTTCAATGGACTGAATTCTCCAATTAAAAGAGTGGCTGAATGGACTTAAAAAAAAACAAAAAACAAGACCCATCTATATGATTGCTTCCTGTAAGAGACTCACTTCAGATGTAAGGACACATACAGACTGAAAGTGAAGGGATAGAAAAAGATATTCCATGCAAACAAAAGACAAAGAAAGCTATACTTAGACAGACTTTAAAATAAAGACACTGCGGCCCATAGACTGAAGGGTCTCGGGTTCTATTCCGATCACGGGCACATATGTTGGCTGCAGACTTATCCCAGGCCCCGACTGGGACCTGTGTGGGAGGCAACCAATCGATGTGTCTCACACATCAATGTTTCTCTATCTCTACTCCTCCCTTCCACTCTATCAATGGGGAAAAAAAATCCTCAGGTGTGGATTAACAAAAAAAAAAAGACTAATCAGAGAAAAAGGGCATTACATAATGATAAAGAGGTCAATCTAACGAGGACATAACATGCATAAATATTTATGCACCCAACAGAGGAACACCTCAATTTATAAAGCAAGTATTAACAGATTGAAAAAAAAAGAAGAGAATTTGTCCCAGATATCGCTATTTGCAGGGCAACTACAGTTTCAGACTAAGAAGGGGAGGGAGGTGCCATTACCATTCAAATGGCTTCTTGTTCCACTTCATGGCCTGTTGTTGCAAGAGAAATCAAAACAGAATTCTCTTCACACCTCATTTAAGTGCTTCCAGCATGGCTGTGGTCACCCAGTGTCCAAGGTGGCTCCTGAGGATCCAATGCATCAGCGTTGGTCCACGCCACCAATAGGACAGTATGTGGTGGTGTGACTTCTGAGGTTAGATCATAAAAGACATGGCCACTCGCGCCTTGTTCTCTCCTGGATACTCTAGGGGTAACCTGCCACCACATGAAGACACCCACACAGCTCTCAGGTGAAGTCTGTGTGGTGCAGATGTGAGAACTGCCAATGACCAGCCCCACCTTGACACCGTGTGAGCCATCTCAGAAGCAGATGAAGAGTGAAGAGTTCATAGGACAACGTGCAGCCCCAGCCGTCATCTTAACTCGTGAGAGACCGACCCCCAAGCCAGAACCACCAGCTAACCTGCTCCAAACTACTGACCCACAAAAAGTAAATGATAAAGTAAATATTTTAGGCTGCTGGTTTTGGAGTAATTTGTTACGCAGCACTACATGACTAATATAATGACCAAAGCTAGTTTACCAAGAAAAACGGGAGCAAGCCTTTTGTCAAAACCTATCCAATTGTAGGTACCTGGGCTAGGGAAAGCTGTCTAGTGGTAAAGGCTCAACTTATCCCCAAAGGGGAGGAAAAGTCATGTACATTACATGCTTGAGGAATGTAAACAAACACTGGTTCCCAGCTATTGTTGCTAACACCAACTAGAGGCTTCCTGGTTGAAACGGTTGTTAAAATGTTCTCGGCACATGTCGGAAGATTTTTTTAAAAAAATATATCTTCTTGATTTTTTACAGAGAGGAAGGGAGAGGGATAGAGAGTTAGAAACATCAATGAGAGAGAAACATTGATCAGCTGCCTCCTGCATACCCTCTACTGGGGATGTGCCCACAACCAAGGTACATGCCCTTGACCGGAATCGAACCTGGGACCCTTCAGTCCGCAGGCCGACGCTCTATCCACTGAGCCAAACAGGTTAGGGCCGGAAGATATTTTAATGGACTCTCTCCCAGGCTCCAGGGGTCCCCATAACTCACAGACGCCAGTGCGGGGGAGTAGAGCACAGGCCAGAGCAGCCCTTAGCAGCTGCAGCACGTCAGGGTTCGGGCTGGGTTTCTGAGGCACCTGTTGTCCAAATCAAGGTCATCAGTCACTAATCCCTTGCCTTGTCCCAATGCTGGGAAAGTAGCTCAGAAGCACAACAGCTTCTGTTCCTGCTCACGTCCCTAAGAAAGAGGCTGCTTTGTGCACTTCTCTTCCCCTGGCCTCCGATCACCCAGAGTAGGAGGGCAGCAACTTTATTAGGTCTGAGATCAACCTGGCGACCTGCATTCCTTTAGCGGCCTGGAAGGAGTGACTACTGACGGAGTCTAACAGGTAGCCTTCAGCCTTGGACTCTGCTTTTACGGACATGTCCACAGACAATGAAGCCCAGGGCCAATGGGTGCCCTGCCCAGCAGGGCAGACAAGAACTGGGGCCTCGGTCCTCCTGCCCCTTGCTTCTCCCTGCAATACCATGGAGGGCCCCATTAAGAGTTCAGCCAGGTGTGAACACTGACTTCAGGAGCCCCTTCCTGTCTCCAAGGGGCACACAGATGTGCCCTGCAGCTGGGAGAGAGACAAAGTGAGCTGGAAATACGGTCCAGAGATCTGGGGGAGAAGGCACATGCATGCCTACCAGCACTGAGCAGGCACAAGGGAGAAGGCCCCCAGACTGCACCTGCGCACGGCCCTCGGTCCTGGATGTTCCAGCATCGCTCTCCTCACGGCGAAATGACAGCACGGGCATCCCTCAGTCCCAGCTGCTCTGAGCACCTGGCTCTCACTTGTCAGAGAGGAAAGACCACATTCTGCCGCTGTATTTATGGGAGCACAAGGGAAGGTGCTGAATATTCAGTCATCCTAGAATCTTGAGTGTTCTGCTTAGAAAATGTCCCTCTTCAAAACTGCACCCTAAGTGATGCGTCCAGATGAATGTCTGTCAGCACCTTGGCCCAAGGGGAGAGCAGCCATTAACACCACAGCAGGAACAAGAGCTTGGAAGATAAGACCGCCTTGCACTGATCGGGTTTCTGGGGTACACAGTACCTTCATATTCACCATCTTATTGGTCCTCACATCAGCCCTGTGAGGTAAGCAAACACTTTACAGGGAAAAAAGTTGGATTTCACCCACAGCAACTGCTACTGTAAGTTTTAACTCTGCTCTTGCCAAAAACAAACTCATGACCTAGGGAGAATTATTTAGCCCCAGTTAAAGTTCTTTTCTCATAATGGAGGAAAGCAGCAGGTGACGCTCACATAATGTGCTGCCCAAAGACCTCAGAATCCAGCTCCATCGTGTAGGAAATTTCATATAAGCTATGAATTCTGCTTGGTAGTCCTCCTCATCCTTAAGATCTCAGCTCTACATCACTTCTAGGAAGCCTTCTCCAGCC